ACACTGACTTTTGATTTAGCGACCTCACCTGTTCCTCTGTAGTAAGTTTTCGTTTGGTTAATTAACATAAGTGTACATCTGGTTTTGTGCATTTTTTCTTTTTCCTTTTTTTCCGGTCATTTTATCCTTTCCGGTTTTTAGTGTATATATTTACTGGCCGGGATCCGGGACGCCCGGACTGGCCGGGATCCGGGACGCCCGGACTGGCCGGGATCCGGGATCGTACAAGATATAGAGGTAAAACTAATAAACTATATTTGTGTTGATTATTGTCGTAATGAAAGGACATTAAACGTTAAGTTTTTTTATTGTATGTAATGAACGTTAAATTAATTAAACTTATGATATAAATATATTTAGAGCTATTTATTAACAAACTTAAAATGGGGAAATCCTAATACTTATAATTATATGCCTAATTAATTGTAAAAATCAAAGACTACATTCTTGAATTGGTCAAATCCCGGGATCCCTTTATGTTTTAATGCGATCCAAGCTTTTCTGAAAACTATATTCTTGAACTGGTCAATTCCTGGGATCTCTTTATATTTCAATACGATCCCGGCTTTTCTGAAAACTATATTCTTGAACTGGTCAATTCCCGGTATCCCTATATGTTTTAATAGAATCCCGGCTTATCTGAAAAACATCTTAGACTGGTCAATTTCCGGGATCCCTATATTTTTAATAGGATCCCGGCTTTTCTGGCTGAATTGATTGACAACTTGTGTTTACTTTAGGACTTGTGTCTGTCACTCATTCCAATACTAAATAACATATTACAACTTAACTTCGTAAAAAGAGACATCTTTATGAATTCTACCTATCTAACATTTATTTGGTCAAGGTCAACAGGCCATACAGTAAATGTGCATAGACATAGGGACTTCATTCTATCTGTTTACATGCATCTTCATATATACTCATATTCCTCTTTGTTAAACTGAGAGAACTGGCTTCCATAACTTTATGTCACTTTTATTTTGATGTTCGCTGAAGTCTCTTCAGTTAACAGAACTGTCATTTTTACATTTAAACGCACCCCTGGAAAAAATGACGAAGCGAGTCGCTACTAGCTTTTATAAAAGCTAACCTTGTATTTAACCTATAATAAATATAGCAGCGACATTGTTTATAAACAACGCTTGATTTTTTCAACTTGTTTGTTATAATACACCTGACCTGTCATTAAATCAAGTATTTTCTTATTTTGATCTCTACGTACAATTAAAAAAGAAATAGAAAGCCTGGACAAGTTTGTATAACATATTTGATATAACAATCAAAGATTATGTGAAAAAAATATAAAAGGAAATTTAAAAATATAAGTTTAAATGTCAACAACCTTTTTGCTGCCACAGCTCTAATTTTATAATTTCCTAAACATTATTTTTTCAGGTTCTATGAATTGCAGACATGTATGCTTAGTTTTCCCTTTATGTATGAGAGTTTTTTTTATCTGATTAAAATCAGCTCCTTACTAACGATACGCATTAGGATCTGACGACCACCAATTTGTCATTTTCTCGTCACCTTTCAAGCAGCCAATCACCGGAGAGCTTTCACAATTTTGAAAGCGATCCGGATTCTTATTTTAACCGCTGGATAACATATAAAGAGTATGTAATTTTCACGATTTTGAGAACAAACATAGCGTTGTTATATAGCCGACAGGTAAACTGGCAAAATAATCTTTCCCTTTAAAAATTAAGTCTAGTGCTTCCAGTTTATTTGTTTCAAATTACTTTAAACATTCTTTTTTCTGACAATATTGATACAATTTGTTTCACTTCTACGGACAACGATATTTTGATACTTCGTCAAATGCCTATCTGCAAAGGGCGTCTTGATTGCATGGCTAAAAAAAATCAAGTATGGGAAATCGGGACCCGGGAAATCCGAACGCGAGTCAAATATGGTGACAATTAGATCTACATGCAATAAAAACCTTAAGTAGATCTGAAGATTGGAATTATTTTTATCTATACTTTTGTAGAAGACAGTGAATAATAAATAAATTGATTCTTTTTCATACAGTACAATGAAGAATGCACTAAAAACATGTTAATATCAACGTCAGGACTGTCCAATGAAAATGGACGTAACAAACATGCAATATCATTAATAAAATTCAATGGCACGATCGTCCAACGAAAATAGCCGTTATATACATCCAATATCATTAAAATAATTCAAAATCGACGTTACAAATTAAATTGTATCAGGAATTTCACAACTTAAAAATCTTCTTTGTTCAAATTTTAATTTCAACATTGTTGTCAATATTTACTTTTGCATAATTAGTTTGTGAATTGCCTTACTTTCTCACATATTCTTCCAAAAACTGGATTAAAAATTAGGGTAAATTAGGTCACCATTTGGTAATTTAATATTATTTTAGGACATCACTGGTGACATGTCCGGGGTCCGTTCCCTCAGTGCTTGGACGGGTGGATGCTAGAACACACACACACATGTAAGTCTAGACCAATAAAATGTGTGCAAACATTTAAAATCATTTTCTCACTCCTTTTTTACAGAACATTTATTCATGTTGTGAAAAAGTACCAAAGATTGAAAAGCGTTGCAATGCATTTCACTCAAATAGGGCAAATAATAGCACAAAATACGATTTTCAAGTTATCTCTGAATATAATTTCTAATTGTCTTTTGCATAGCGTTCAGTTTTAAATGCCCCAGCTGATATTTGTAAGACATTCAAATGTTTTGGATCTCGATGTAGTTACTTTCAGCTATAAGGTATTCATGATTAACTTAACAATGTAGGCACAAATTAAATCATAGTTTTCTTAAGGGAATCTATTTTCTAAGATTATCACATTTCTTTTATGATACGGAATAACAATACATTTTTTGCACAATTAATTTTCAGTTAACATTTTAAAATGTTAGAAATTTGATTTGATTTTAGTTTTGTTGCTCGCGATGAATTGATACAAATGACAATAACAATGACCATTTTTCTGCGAGTAAACTGAATTGTGACATATTAAATAGTAATATAGTTGTAATTAATATTCTGCTATCATAGAACGATCGAAATGTAATCGAGTCTTAAATGTCATTTTATAATTAAACAGTGCCTACGTCTTTTCGCTTGTATTGGTAATACCATGATATTCATCTAAACAAAATAAAACTCGATAACAGTTAAATGTCAAACGGTCTCGAGGGAAAACAACGTTATTAATATTGTTTCATTTTATGCTCGCAAGGAGTGCTTAAATGGTCAAGATCTTTCAATTAGGATATGATTTGTCAAGCGATATCAGTGTGTAAGCCCTTTACTGTGTGAACTATATGAGCCCTTTTCCACATAATAAGCCCCTTCCTTGTGGGCATTCAACACCTAAATTAATAATTATCAAGGACGCCTTGCCGTAGAAACTAATTCATGCACATACCAGAAATCATGGTGCAAAATGATTTCCGCTTAACAAACTAAAGTTCTTGTCTTTCTGTCTCGTTTTCCCTGACATAGCAAACAGGCCTTAGACCATAGCTAACACCCATATAGAACATCGCCTCGTCAGTAGTGACAAAATATTTTTCATTTTCCACTATTTTAACGGAGATACTGACACCAAGAACGAGTACGTCTATTCTGAGCTTGCTTCACTTTCTTTTTAACTTATAAACATCTTGTTTGAGATACCCCCAATTTGTTTGCCATCTATCTTTGGATTGGTGGATTCACCGATCTTGTCATATTACATGTCTTTCGTATGACGTCGTATGTAGCAGCAATACGTTGTTTCTTAACAGGGGTCCATTTTCATGTTATTGCGAGTGTTACTTTGAATAAAACCTTTGGAATGCTGAATATGATTTATAACCCCAAATGGAAACAGTATGTCCCAATTCTTTATTCATCAAAATGCAATGTCTTCAACTAAAGCACTAATTCTACGTCTTGTCCATTTGTTACAAAACCAAAATATATCGTAGACAATTAGGTTTATATACATGGTTGCACGGACTAGCTCGGGAAAATGTGCAGACATATTGTTTTCAAAAGTAATAGAATGGAATCACCTCTCGTATAACATTGCATTAAATAAATAAATTGAGACATACAAATATAAGCATTTCTGGGGTTTTAAAAAGAACAAACAATCAAATAAAGAAATGTATGGTTAACAAATATTCTATCAGACACTCTGTATAATTCTTTGCTTCTTGTGGAATATGGAATATAAATGTTCATGCGTCATAATGCAAATTTCAGATGAAAATATTTACAATTGTCTGTTGAAACAGACGAACTGTGTAGGTTTTTGTCGTGAATGTTGAATATACAATTACACAAACGAGACGGAAAACAAAAATGCTAATAGAAATGTTTACATGCGTTTGTAATTCATTTAGGTTTGCCACCCTGAGGGATCAGTTAAACTATCCAAGCAGTGTTATATACGGTGCGGATAAACCACGTGGATGTGAAATTATAATTGCCATTCTATATGTAAAACCTCTTGTGAAATAGAAGTGAAAAAGAAATTATAATTGCCATTATATAACGTACCTCTCATGAAAATGAAATTATAATCTTCATGCAATAACCTCTGGTGAAAAAGACATTATCATTTACTTATGACCAATCAGACTAGAGAGAATTTAAATTGGGCCACTTAATTAAAAGGACTACTTTCTAGACGGTTGGGTCTTATTCCGTACCGGGATGAGACCGAATAGCCAGTAAAAATACCGGAATCACCGGTGTGACTCGTGAGGAACGTAAAACTTCACATACTGCGCATGCGCACACAGTTGTCGGACGGGGCCGTAAATGATGTAAGACTTTCTGGTTGAATCTCGATTAAAAGATCATTAATTGGTCAAAGTGTAGTTCTTCGTTTTATTCATGAGCATCAAGCCACTTTCTACGATATCTACATTTATTTAGCTGTGACAACGCATCGTGTAGATGAAATAGTGTCCAAATCAGTGTCAGTCTTTCAAAATCGTTCCCTGTGTCAAGATACAAGATACAAGAAACTTTATTTTAAGTCGGTTTACATATTACAAGAAACATTAGCTAATAAGCTATTTACCGACAATAACAAAAGCATAAAACATATTTGCTAACATATAACAGTTCTGAAAATAAAAACATATAAAACTATTAGCAGCTTAAGCATGAAATAAGAGTATCAAGGTTAAGAAGAACTTTACAATAAGATGGTAAATTAAGGCATAGCTTGATGACATGCACAGTAGATCTACAAGACTACATATTGTATTAAAGGTAATAACAGTTTCTAAAAGTAATAAATGACTGTAGTCTAGAAATTTAAGTATGATACATATAGCAATGTGAAATAAATAAAAATAATAATAAAAAATAAAAAATTAATAAAATAGTAATAGTTATAAGTTAACATCTACAATTTATAAATACATAATTGAAGGTTTCCTAAAAAATATATATAAATAAATAAATAGATAAAATTAAACTTATTTATAAAAGTGCATAAAAATTTATGATAGAACTTATACAGCATAAAAAAGAAACAAGATAAAGCACATACAGTGTAACAAACAAAATTAACTAAAATTAAGTTGCATGCACAGCCTAATGGAATGGGGAATAAGGAGTATTAATATAAACAAAGCATACAAACACAACAAAGATTCAACTAGCATAAAATACAAGGGTTTAAGAAAAATTAACACACAACATATAATCAGAGCATCATAGCAAACTAAAAGGGATGCACAAAAGCAAGGCAAACAAACAAAACATGTAGTCTAAGCATTTACATAAATTAAAACTAAGCAGAAAAACAAACACATAGCAAATTTACAAGCACATAGCACATTTACAGCTTGGGCCACTCCAGACCTGGATCAGTCTCCCAAACTCTTTGTAATTTTCAACCTTGCGGATGTCATTAGGGAGACTGTTCCAAATCTGGGCACCTTCAAACTTAAAAGAATTCTTACCGTATGTTACTGTTTTGACCCTTGGGACATTTACACTTTTTTGATACCTAAAAGAATAATTGGAATTTTTAAATTGAATTAAATCATTTATATATGGTGGTGATTTTCCGTACAGGCATTTAAACACTTCTTTGGCTATTATTTTAATTCTTGACAAATGTAAAGTAGGCATATTAACTTTTTTTAATAATGTGTCATATGAAGAATTAAAATCATTAAATACTATTTTTAGAGCTCTATGCTGGAGTTTTTCAAGTTTTTCTGTGTTTGTTTTGGAGCAAAAATGCCAGACAAGGGGACAGTAGTTACAATTAGATCTGATAAAAGATTTGTAAATAAGAAGAAGACATTCTGAATTTAAAAATTTCCTAATTCTTAAGAGCACATTTAATTGTTTGGCAGCTTTTTTACACATTCTGGTGACCTGTATATCAAAGTTAAGTAAAAAATCTATGTCTACCCCTAGCAGTTTAACACAATCTTCACATTTTATTGTAACATTATTTTAAGTGTTCATTTGTTATTTTCCCAACAGCTATGGCTTGAAACTTGTCAGGGTTAGCTTGCATTTTATTAATGTTAAACCAGTTAATAAGTATTTTACTTTCATTTTCTAATGTGTTTTTCAATATGTCTATTTTAGAGTTGGAGAAGGCTAGAGTATTGTCATCTGCATAATTGTAGAGGATGGATTTATCTATAAAATAAAAAATATCATTCATGAAGATGTTGAAGATTAAAGGTCCAAGAATAGAGGCTTGTGGCACCCCCTTAATTGTTTCAAGCCAAGTGCTATGATACTCTCCTATTTTAACTGTTTGTTTCCTGTTTGAAAGATAGTTTGAGACTAGAGAACATGCATTTTCAGACAACCCATATGCCTCTAGCTTTTGGACTGTAAGATCATGCGGTAGACAGTCAAAAGCCTTGGACAGGTCCATTAGGATTGCTGCCACATGCTCATTTCTGTCTAACGCCATCTTCCAGTCCTCAACTAGACGCAAAAGAGTTGTCTGACATCCGTAGCCTGGTCTGAAAGCGGCTAAATAATTATGAAATATATTTTCAAAATGGTTGCTTAATTGTTCATTTATAATTTTCTCAAATATTTTTGACATTGATGGTAATATACTAACTGGCCTATAATTTTTCATAATAAAAGGATCATCTCTCTTAAAAACTGGAGTGACTTGAGCCATTTTTAAACTGTTTGGAATTAAATTTGTGTTGATCATATTATTGACTATCTTGGATATAGGTTTACAAATTATATTTGCTGAGCATTTCAGTATTTTGGGTGGTACATTGTCATATCCTGTTGCTTTCTTTGGGTTTACTGATTTTAGATGTTTTTCAATTGACTCTGATGTTACAGTAGAAAAATTGAACTTTTGTACATTGTTATTGTTTTGTTTAATTAATTTAATACTAGGGTGTTCATTTTGAGTAGTAGTCTGATTATTTATCCCAATATTTTTGGCTATATTTACATAAAAGTCATTTAACATATCACACACTTTAGTTTGATCGGCAATCAGCGACTCATTTTCCTTAAGAATAATGTTACTTGAACTTTTCAAAATGGATTTTTGACTTAAAAAAGGTTTGATTGTTGGCCAGAAATCTTTAGACTTTGGGCCCCCGCTACATCTTTCCATGAAATAGGTGGTAATAGATAGATTCACGTTTTATTTTTGTTTTGAAGTTCCTGAGTTTTCTATACTTTTCCCAATTATTTTTTGTTTTATATTTCAGATATGTGTTATGTGCCTGTCTTGTTTGGTAGATTATTTTTCTGTATTTAGAGTTCATATAAGGTGGTGAAGACTTTTTAGGATATTTTTGTTTTATAGGTGCATGTTCGTCTAAAATTTCATTAAAAAGTTTATTATATGCCCAGTAAGTGTCATCAACATCATCAAAAGTAAATGCTACTTGGAACGGTACTTTGTCTAGTTCATTGTTAAAAACATTTTCATCAAAATTTTTGTAACTCCTAAAAGGTATTCTCTTTTTAGATACGGTATTAACCTGTTCTTTGAGAGTTGTAAATATCATACTATGGCAGTCACTTATGCTGCTACTGATAACTGATGAATTACATAGCAAAGAGGACGAGTTTGTTAAAATTACATCAATAAGGGTTGGGTTGTCTATATTCTTAAAACATGTTGGTTTGTCAATTAGATTTACCAAGTTGAAACTATCCATGATGTTTGTAAGGAGTTTACTTTTGGTAGGATTTAGCATATCATAGTTTAAGTCCCCAGTTATAATTACATGGTCAAATTTAATGAATAATTTGTCTAATGTTTCAGATAGCCTTGATTCAAAAAGATGGTCAGACATTGAAGGTGATCTATATATAAAAATAATTCCCCATTTTCTTTTTAACAAATTCAATTCAAAACATAAATTTTCCAGACCTTGATTTTCTAAATCTGTACGGCGTTTAATAGGTAAATCAGCCCGTATTAGTGTCAGCAAGCCTCCACCATGGGCATCTCTATCACATCTGTGTAACTTGTATCCATCAACTGAGAACAGGTTATCACTGAAAGAATGATCAATTTTGGTTTCAGAAATACAGAAAATATCAACAAGATTATTATCAAAAATGGGTCTAATTTCCTGAAATGTATATATTATACTATTAATATTTAGATGACCAATTATCGGTCTTTTCCTATTTAAGTTTTTAAGGTTTTTAACATCATCAAAAATGTCATACAGGTGTTCACTATCACAGGCACTATTATTCTGTCAAGCCAGAACTCAAGATGAAAACAGACTGTCTTCGGGAGAGAAATAACAGAAACAAGATTATAATACACAGATAAGTTAACTATTAACTATTGCAACACAAAAAAATGTGACTGAATCTGAATTATGAGCGATAAACAGTCTTTGATAAACACGCGTTGTCTTCTTACAAAAATATCGTGACGAAAGAAACCGGATTGAGTGAATACACACGGTCCCAAAATAAAATAGTTTAGATATATTACTATGTTTTGTCAACATCAGCTGAAAATAATCGGCTTAAATACCATAAAGGCTGCATAAATGATTTCGATATTTGAAAATCTATTCAATATTTCATAACATTTGGCATTGTATTGATGACGAAAAAGTACGAATTGTAGTAAAGATATTGTACACTGGTCTGTCGAACCTGTGGACAAAGGACAAACAAGGGAGGGAAAAATAATGGTTTTTATATACAAGTTATCTTTATTTGGAGGTCACTTTATTTTATTATCTAACTTTCTATTAATGTGTTTATTTATTTAAAAAAAAACACAATTATTGTTAAATAAACTCATTCATTCATTCATTCATTCATTTAACTTTTATTTGTTGATTTTTTAAATTTATCTATTGATTTAGAAAACAATCATTCTTTCAATTGTGTTTCAAATTAATAAATAAATAAATTAATTAATTAATGCATTTATTAATAAATAATAACTAAATGAATAAATAAATTAAGTTATTCATTCATTCATTCATTAATTAATTCATTCATTCATTCGTTCATTCATATCCCATTTTTATAATACTTGAACAAGTAAATGATTATTATCTTTCTTTGAATACTTATAAATGTGGTTTTATTCTGGTCCAGACAGTTGGCGTTATCTCCAGCATAAATTATTCTAAGTTGATGCTATTTATAAAAGTGTGGAAACCGTAATGACGACCGAACATTATAAGAAACTGAGAAATTAAAGAAAAAAGTATTAATCAAGAAGTCTGAAGGCATTGTTATATCAACAAAATTAACAAATATGAAAAGCTTGTGGTTTATTTCAGTCTAACACATTTGATTTATTGTCTGTGAAACAAATACTTTGATTAATTAACTTCCCTAGTTTTATATGTCTCCTTCTGTTTCTTTCCGTGAATTAGCTTTACTTGGGGGTGATTGTGTGTAACTCCTACGCAGTGTTTCCCGCACAGAACACTGCCATAACATTGCTTAATTCAAATAAAGAACAGTAATAAATTATATATATATAATTACGAAAAATACGTCACAGGATGTCATAAAGTGAAATAATTGAATGTACGCGTGTACATGGTCTTATTGGTATCATAAAGTGAAAGTAGGATTTCTGCATCAATCCACAAGTTAGTGCATCCTTGGATACCCACAGCCGAACCATCAACCGTTAAACCGCGGGTATCCGATGATGAATGCATTGTTGCAAATCCGGAATAAAACTGAATGCTAGAAACATGTCGGAAAGCCTGTCATCGTGACATAACCTGTTTGTCCTTAGCATAGCCTCCATTTTGAAGTCACGTGTCGTTTTATAAGGTCACGTCTATTATTGGAATTTTTAATCTTTATACAGGCATATTTCCTATCCAGATTACCAGCCTTTTTTCCTAAATATGACACTAGAAAGCTAAAAAAAATCTTCAGGATTACGGAACTTTGTACAACAACATGCACGCACTTGCAATAATGTTCCCATGGGTCAGCGGGGTAATGTTTAGGTCCGCGTGTGTGATATGTACTTTATACTGAAATATTTATCATGAAATTTTATTGTTGCCCAATAACATGATTCATTTTCTCAAAAATGAAGAAAAAAATAATTCCTAAGAGAGAAATTAAAGTGGTACAGAATCGGTTTCATTCTAAAAAAAAAGCCGTAGTCGGTTTTATAGCAATATAGGTCTATGTCGCCTTATATATTTAAAGTCACGAGATTCGCCGCGAGGCCTTCACGTGAGAAGTTATTTTTTTAACTGAAACAGCAAACCACAACATGTGGAAGAGGATTTCTTTCAAGCATTTCAACAGTGTGTCTAATGCAGTCGCTTTTAAGCCTAAACTCCGCGCACGGGTCACGATAGGCCAGTAACCCCAATCCTGTAAGGGGAGATCACTGCGCGGGAGATTGATTCGAGCCGTGTCTGACGGTTTCGGTCACATACATGTTAAACAATGACGTCAGAAAATGACGTCTTTTTTATAACCCGTACGTCAATATTTGTTTTTCTTATATAAAAAATATTAACGTTAACATTAAAACGTGTGCAAACTAATCGTGAACATTTTACGATAATTAAATTGTTATAGTATAGATGATATGTACATAAAGTGTATTCTAAAAATACGCCGCATGTAAATTTCTAGACAGAAAATAACATCCAACGGAGCAATTTATTAATATCATTTAATAAGCTTTATTTGTATATATATAATTTATCGTTGTTATTCATTATCTAAATGCCAAGTTGAATATTAATTCAATTGCATTTATTTGTATTTCTAAATGTGACTTTTTCTTTTTCATTTATTTCTGCAATTGTAATGAAATTTGATATGATAACATTTGTTCAACCTCTTCTAGCGAGACAGAATTATAAATATGGAAACTATTTATATTATCTTCAAACAAAAGTTAATTTATTTATCAAATAGGAAAAAACTCAAAGTGTTTCAAATTAACATGTGCTATTGATACAATAACCAGTGATTTTTCCAAGCGTACTTTTTGAAAATAATGAAAAAAATAAAAGCGTCAAATATCAGCGGACGACTTTCTCGTTTTCATCGATTTAACTGAATGTTATAAATGCCGTGACATCAAATTAAATATTGCATTACATCTGCACCCAGTTAGAGATATATATCTTGTAAAATATTTAAAATATTTAGACTTATATAGGAAAACTCATTTAAGTTATATCACTGTGTGAAACTTCAATGTCTAGAGCTTAGATATTTAGCATGCAGCATTGACTTAGTGACGTTATGAAGACTTATATGAATCATGCCTTTTTTTTCAATATTTATAGACTTTAACAGCAAAATACATCTCGAGACTTATTGTGTCAAACTATGATGCCTAGAGCTTCGATATTTTGCATGTGAACCACAAAATAACTGGTATTAACCTTGCCCATTGGGAGAATATTGGCTCCGCCCCGGGGGTCACTTAGTTAAAAAAGTTTTGTACAGAAAAACACATTCAAGTTTATTTTGGTGAAAATACAATGTCTAGTTTAGTTATTTGACATGTAGCATTGCCTTGTTGGTCTCTACAAAATTAAGATAAATCATGCCCCATAGGTCAATATTGGCCCAACCCCAGGGGGTTACACATTTTACATTGACTTCTATAGGAGAAATTATTTGAGTCTTATCGTGTGAAAGTGCGTTGGAAACATTGGGGGTCATATTGTATCATAAGAGAAATTAAGATAAATATCTGGAAAAAAGTGATCCCTCTGGGGCATTAAAAACAGCAACATTTCATGAAAATTGCAGATTCGGTTTGATTGAGTCTGTACATGAGAGATAATGAAAAAGTGCAACATCCATCTCTCACGCCCCTAGCACCGGCTAGAGCGATACTTAAAAGTGAAGGACCTAATGATCCCGAAGGACCAAAAAAATATAACAACACTGAAGTGAAGTACGGGGTAACTTTTTACGGCTGCCACACAGCACTTGACACCTGCTGTTGTGTTGTTAAATATGTGGAAAAAAGTGATCCTTCGGAAGCATTAAAAAAGCAACAATAGATCAAAACTGCAGACACCCCTAGGGCCGGTTGAGCGGTAATCAATTCTCAACACTTAAAAAACTTTTTTCAGACAAGTTTTTCTTTGATTGGATTTTTTACTCAAATTGAAATATTATTTTTGATGACTCAAACAAATTAACATTTTGCAGCGACTGTTCACGGCAGTACATTACTTCCTTCACCCTTTCCAAATTGTTTTGCAATCCTTGTAATATCAAATGTGAAACTGCCATTAGAGTGTTTCCAATTTTAGGTTTCATTGAGTACAAAACATCATTTTGTTAATCTACAGACGTATTGAAACTAGAAAAATTAGTTCCTTGGGAATAACATTCGTGACTGGCTGTTGCTATGGTATTTTTGTATATTGTCTGACAGAGAGAGACACACAACTACAAAAGACATTTGATATCACATTATTTTATAGATCACATGGGTAGAAGGATTCATACAATCCTAATATAGTAAAGGGAGGAGGAAGATCGGTGCTTAAGCCGGGGGAGTGGATGGTATAGCTTGCATGAACCACTGGCTAAAACGAAACGAGCATGTGGCATTTTTAATTTTGCCGTTTTTTGGCGTCTTTCAGGGATTCTGTTTTTTTTCTCTCTATTTTATGAAACTACACCTTTTAATTTGCCAAATGTTCAAAATAAAGACCAATACATGTAATCTAAAACGAGAACCTTACCAATTCCTCGGTCACCCATGCCACCCCACCCTAACCCCTATTTAGAAATAAAACGTTTTCTAAAGCATAAGAGATAATACATGTATTATCGTTTCAAATTATTGTATTTTCATATGCTAAACACAGCATCTTAATGTTTAAATGGAATACACATTTTAAAGAATCAATTTTGACAAAGAGTATAAAAAACATGTATTCTACAGTACTGTATAAATAAACTATTCTAGTAAATTTGCGTTCAAACGATATTTTATTAATTTCAGATTATTATATATATTATATCTCTTATGCTTTAGAAAACGTTTTATTTCTAAATAGGGGTTAGGGTGGGGTGGCATGGGTGACCGAGGAATTGGTAAGGTTCTCGTTTTAGATTACATGTA